GGGGTGTGGTGGGCGGGGCAGCCCGCTGCCTGTTACTGAGGCAACCTGCCTGCACCTGCCTTGGGCCCTGGTGCTCCAAGCGTGGGTCACTGCAGCTGGAGGGGCTTCGGGGGGGGGGAGGTGCGGGGTGCAGCAACCCGAGAGGGCAGGTTTTGGTTCTGCCTCAGCCAGCATCTCTGGGGAGAAACTAGGGCAGGGCTGGCTTCTCGGGGGGAGATCTGGGGGAGGGGGCTGAGGACAGATTGGAGGGGACGCTGCCTGTGAGCCTGGCTCTGCATGGTGCCACCCACTGCTATTTATGTTGGCGCTCCAGCCTGCTTTTTGCCAGACGCGTCACCTCCAATCCTGTCTCTGCCGCCTGCTTCTCCCCTCCCCTCCTTCCTCTCCTTGCGTCGTGCGATGGGGCTGGCACCCCCCTGGGCCAGGATGCAACCTAGGGGGCTTGATGTCTCCTGCAGCCCTGAGACACGGGCAGGTCAGGAGGTGGGGTGGGAGCATCCCATTCCTGTGGTGCTGTCCTGGCCACAGCTAGTGCTGCCAAGCAGATGAAGGTCCTTTTTGGTCACCAGTGTGCAGCAGCTTTGTGCCACCTGCAGCAGCCACCTTCCATTACCTCTGCCACGCCAGTCTGGAGGGTGTCAATAGGAAGCAGTAACATGGGGCAGGAGGTGGGGGGGATGAGGCTGAGCCCCTGGGCTGGTGCTCCTGCAGTGTGGGGATTCACCTTTTGCCCTTTCCCCCAGTCCTGTGTGCTGAGCGGGTGGTCAGGATCACGAAGACCTACCACGACATCGATGCCGTCACCAACCTGCTGGATGAGGTACAGCTCTGCTTGCCATGTGCACAGGCTGGGGCTGGTGTGAGGGGTGGGGCTGGTGGGATCCCAGGGACTCAGGTGGGTGAGGGCTGGAACAGAGCAGGGAACAGGCCCTGCCCCTTGCAGAAGGAGCGGGACCTGGAGCTGGCGGCGCGCATCGGGCAGTCCCTGCTGAAGCAGAACCGGAGCCTGACTGAGCGCAACGAGCTCCTGGAGGAGCAGCTGGAGTTGGCCAAGGAGGAGGTAATAGCTCCTGGTGCAGGGTCCTGGCCTTGGCCCCCACACGCCTGGTCTGGGGGCTGCGGGTGGCTGCGGTCCCCTTGGCTGTGCTCTGATACCCCTTTTCCTCCCAGATTGCGCAGCTGCGCCACGAGGTCTCCATGCGGGATGACCTGCTCCACTTCTACACCACCACGACAGAGGAGAGTGAGCCCACTGCCACCACCTCCACACCGTGAGTGGGGGGTCTCTGTCCCACTGCTTGCCTGGGGCAGGGCTGCTTCTGGGGGCCGGGCTGAGGTGTTGGACAGGGTCTGTCTCCTGGGGTAGCCGCAGGACTGGTGCTCCCTTCCCTCCTATGGCAGCCGTGGTCCAGCCCCATGGAGCTGGGGTGCTGCAGATGCCTGCCTGGGAACTGTGGGGAGGGGTCAAGGGG